TGACATACTCACCACAGCCCTGCATACAATAAAACTACATGCTGCCCCAATCGATATTCTCAATAAAACTGGTAGCGTCCGCATCTTGATTACCTAAAATTATCCATATAAATCTATATGTGTATCAATAGAATAGTTGACGTTAAAATGACAATAAATTCCGACACTCTGCCTTACTGTACAAAAGCGAATGTAAAGCAACGGCGTTGGGCAGTATAAGCACATCATACGATATACCTGTGTAATAACTAAAGTAAACAAGGCCTTTTATAAAGGTAAATTCGAGTATGTCAGTTATAGTTATGTCACCTCATAATCAAACACATATGGGCTTGAGATGTTATTCCCATTTCTATACTCCAAAGATTAACATTTTGTTTAGTAGATTTTATAATTACACGGGCACTTAGTAACATATGATTTGAGATACAGTACAGATGAAGAGTTGTTATAATGATGATGTCAAAATATTTCCTCGTGACGGTAATAATTTTATAAATGTTCCCTGTATCAGTAGCATTTACTGTTTCATAATTACCTAATTTATTCATATCATGAAATGAATCAGTGAAAATTACATTAAACAGTAAATCAATTAGACTTGCGTATAGTCTCTTGCTTATTTTCTGGTGTTTTGTTCAATAAAATAAAATATTAAGAGAGAGTGTTACTGCGAAATAACCATTGCAAGGGACACACGTCTCGTGTTTATACCGCTGTAACCTGGCTTTCGCCATGTGTACACTCACATGATAAATTATTTTATAGAAAACACCAAAATAAATTACAAGAGAATGTTATCAAGTGTAAACTTCATCAGTATATCATCATAGATTTAGTGAAATACCATGACATTGGAAGTAATTCTAGTTTTGCCGCCCTCTCTGGCAATTCTGTCTTTGGTCTGTGTTAAATAGGGATTTCATGATGGTGCAGGTTTGTAATAAAACCATGTATAATTTCACGTGTGTTTATTAGTTTGTTTATTTTTTTATCTGCAATCAAAATATACTATATCATTTGACTATGACAATTGTTTGTGAAAAAGCCATTGTGTCAACACAGGTGGCGCTATTCAGCACAGACCTGTGTCTTATGACGCATAACTAGCCTCTGAAGGCTAAATATCAATCATCCACCATTTTAGTCAGCGTTTCTTCCGTGGAACTATATACAAGTATTTTTTTCTTGTTTTGAACACATTCTCTCCTTATTTTTAGCAAGATTGAATCTTTAATGAATTGATCAATTAAAATACCGCACAACACTCATCAGCATGTCTTATCTTATTAACATTAAAATGTATGTAAATTGCGAGGTTAAAGGTCTAATGTTTCTCAATTGTATTGACAAGCAGATCGCCGCAAACCAACCGAATAGCGCCATCTGTGTTGGCACAGTGTGGAAATAGTTCCGACCACTTTTCCCATAGTTCCACGCGCGGTATGTGTCAGATCGGTTGGTTTGCGGCGATCTGCGTGTCAAGGGTGAAAAGCAGCTATTCTAACCAACCAATTAACTAACTACGCATGACTGGCACGCGTTGTTAGAGCTGTGCAAAAACACGTTTTCTCTGCTTCAAATACTTAGTAAGTGACTAATTTTATTCCAATACGTTTTGTAAATACTTCTTAGTTACTGCCGTTTTTACATTTTGTTTTCTCGGTAAAAATCTACCGTATTTTAGTTGATTTTGTTTTTCACTTTTAGTTTGCTCGTCGTGGGGCCTTTCCAAGATGGCGGCCTCCACGGCGAGTACACGTGTTAACCATTTTGCTGGGCTAACATGTAAGCATGGTCTGAAATGTGAATCAATTGATGCATATGTTAAAAGTATTTCTGTTATTCTCAAACCTGTGAATATTATTGCCGCTTCCCGAGTGAGCGGAAGTGTTGTTGTTTTTCTCGACTCTGTGAACGCTGTGGAAACTTTTTGTACAGCTGGCCTGTCAGTGGGAGACTGCTTTACCCATGTGCAACCCCTTGTTAAACCTGCCACTAAAATAATTCTCTCAGGTGTACCCCCATATATACTAAATCACATTATTCAAACTGAACTGTCAAAGTATGGCCGCGTTTTTAGCAATTTGCGCTTAATTCCACTCGGGTGCAAACAACCCGAGCTGAAACACGTCAAATCCTTTCGCCGTCAAGTTTATATGCTGTGCGACAATAATGAACTAGACGGTGTCATTAATGTCACTCATGAAGAGCGGCAATATCGTATCTACTTGTCAACTGATGATATTGTTTGTCACAGGTGTCAAAAAAGGGACATATGAGAAACTGCCCAGTAAGTCAACAGCAAACTTCAAACGACCCAGTTCGCGATCATTCTCTTCCAAATAGTAAAACCCGCCCGACCCTGAATACCTGTTGATCAGTCTACTATTGCTAGTCTTGATAAAACTGATGAAGCAAACGACATTAATGAAAATGGTGATAATGATAACAATAGTCAAACGATGAAAGTTGACGACACGCCCGAAAATGTAGAGTATAACAAAAGTCACGGAAACAATACTATAAATGATAAAGGTGACGATAACGTAATAGGTGTCAATGTGTAAACTATACTACTAATCATGCTAATCATAATGCGTCGCAACATAAACAAATATTTATCGCAAAGTTTTATTTTTATTTTTCCAGTTTGGTTTTACAAAAAAGTGAGACATTTCGTTATCGTCACAAAATAAACCGGAAGTTAAATTGGACAGATTAAAATACACGAGAATTTCATGCAACATGTTTTGCCTGACAGAATCTCGTAAGCATATGAATATACTTGTATATTGAAATGTAATATTTCGGAGGATGCCATCATGGGAACATTGTACACCACTGTATTTGAGATGAAAGCATAATGCAGGCTAACAAGTGGTATTACAGGGATATATATTATAAACGAAATTGTTTGCAGGATTACAATCTGAATACCATTAATTAATAATTGATACAGTACACCGAATCCGTCCTATAATATACAGCGTATCCCGACGATAAACGGTTTGGGGTCACAGAGTATTGTTTTTTATGGATATTGTCGCCGGATATTTACTTGCGTTATCCTGTCGATTGTAAATCATGTGTAAATTTGTGAGAAATCCGTGAGATTTTGTTTAGACGTGGAATCTGCAATACAGTCTGGTTAAGTTTGACCACTTAAGATTGTGTGTTAATTATACATCGCACTATTTATGCAGATTCACGCCTCCGTTCAATCCCGATTCAGTGATAATTAGAAAAAATAGCCCGAAATAAATCAGCGTGTAAACTGTCATGCCACACTCCATGGAATGTAGGATATATATTCATATATATATTCATATATATTAGTTTGTTTAATTTTGATGTAAAATTTTATTGTAAATTTTTATTTTGAGCTTCTCGTCAGTCGTACATATAGATACATCTTAACGTAGAGCGATTTATTTTCCTTTATGTTTACTAGATGTTGTGTCAATAATACCAATTAATCATGCACATAAAATGGACAGAATATATAGATAAAATGCTGGTCGTTAAAGAGGCTGTACGTGAATGTCAAGCAGCTGGTGAAAACAAGAATCAGTTATTTTGGAAGAGATTCCCTGCATCAAATAACGATCCAGTTATCTACAGAGAATGTAGATTTTTGGACGACATTATATATATATATATATATATTGGGCAATTGGTTAATACAAATATTGGGTGTATAGCTGGAATGGTAATACAAGAGCACGATGTCACGCAGCTTCACCGCGAGTGGCGCCCTAGCGGATCCAGTATCATCGAGCATTGCAAATTCAAAGTCTGACAAGCGAGACTGTATGTACGGCACGAGCCATTGATTCGGATTTAAAGACTGACTGTAGTATTTTTTATTCTAGAAACACAATATTTCAATAATTGTAATGACGTGGCAACACAATTTGTGTTCATATAATACTATGCGAATATAAACAATCGATTGCTAAGGTTATTTATTTCAAAATAAGACCGTTATGTAGTAATGTTCGTGATTATAAACGTTGTGCGATTTTGAGACGCAATCTCTGGCTAAATCGCAGATTTCTTTTTTTTGCTTTCCAACGTGAACAAAAGACCGTGACATCGACACATTTACATAAATTACACGAAAAAACACGGCTTTTACGGAAAAAAACAAATACAGTATTTTAATGTTTTGTACTAAAATACGTTACAACTAATAATAACATTTCAAATCTCGGCTATCAAAGACAGACCGACTGCCAAGGTTTGTTCAAATTTCAAATTGTTCGATTTCTGCCATGGGTACAAATAAACCAGCATTACGCTGTACTCGAACATTTATTATTGCATACGTTTCAGGATTTGTCGGCCTTTCTATGTTTTTGACCAGATAGATGCTTCTAAAATTCGTAAACACGAATGACTACAACGTATTTATTTGAATCTTCATATCATTAAAAGTTTTGTCAAAATTGAATTTTTACGCGAGTTAAATTAACTTAAAAAAATTGACATTCCCGCGCTTTTAGAAGGTTTTCCCTATGTTAACAACAATCTGTCATTACAGTGACTAGTGTGGTTTGAATCCACATTCGGTCGATATGGTACTTCGCCTCGTAGACTCATAATATCGAGAATGTTAGCTTAGAAAATAAGTACTGAAAGTATTACCGAACAAGCAAACCTTCAGCGTTAACGCGTTAACTGAATATTGATTCGCTGTCCATCGTTTATTTTCGTGTAATCCCGAATTGTATTTGTTTCAGCACAGTGTGAATGTTGTTGTTGAAATCAACATGTTGACGGACATACCCTTGCGGCTATGCCTTGCAATGAAGTTAAACAAATTGTGTAATGTTAATTAAATAATCTCTTTTGACGCTCAATCCGAATTGCAATGAAAAAAACAGCCAGCCAGCCAGCCAGCCAGCCAACCAACCAACCAACCAACCAACCAACCAATCAGGTGTTCTATTCAATATGGTAATGCGCGAGTACGTTCTCTCGTGTAAATTTTGAACGAGTAACTAAATACTAACGAAAATCCAAACGTATGTACAACTTCAGACCCACTGAAATAATAATCTGATTCGTTACGCTTTAAATCTGATCGCTCGTTGTATCAAAACATAAATACATTTTATTATGCATTGCATTCGGCAGCACTGACCTTAATGTGGAAATTAATTACACGGTGACGTATGTTCTTTCGACAAATATTAATCAGTTTGCTTGGTTGTGTACCTTTTTTATTAACTTCTGGTAGAAAGTAATTATGCATAAAACAGGATACAAGGTTGCTGCCGAAATGATATATACACTATTAACATCTGGTCAATTTGATTATTCACAAATATAATTAACAATAAATATGCAAATCTCGAATCTTTATTAATTTATTGAATTTCACTTGTTATTATTGAGTGCACTCCCTATAGCTTTGTTAGTGTGTGATTGGTTATCTAACATTGGTTGGTAAGTCGCGTTTAAAATTCGGTGGTCGTCGCGCTGCGCCGCGTCTTCGAATTAAATGTATTGCAACCAATGGATTTTACACGCGTTGTGTATGTCGCTATGAGTCCCATATCGAGCAGGACGCGGCGCGACTACAACCACCCTAAAACATATTTAAATATTATGGGTTTGATAACATTTACCAATTATCCGTATACTTTTAGTGTGCTCTTAAGTTGGCAAATTCCGTCAGAACTGGTTGTTGACTGTGTTGAGTTGTTTGTCTTGGCAGAGCGACAATTTACTATATCTCAATGTGTAAGTGATATAGGCGACAACCCGTCCTGGAGCGTGTAAAAACCACGAAATAAATGAACTCCAGAAAATAGTAATCATGTCATCAAACATTACTCCAAATATAAACACGCCCTTAAATACATTAATGAAACGAAACAACGCGATGCACTAGTATAATCTCATTGGCTGTTGCTCATAGTGTTCCGCGAATCGGTGCGCTTTATTTTATCGCCTTTATTAATTTACGTTTTTTATCACACTAAATTTTTCACCATGTTTTCATTCAGTTGTCTGCAACATGAAGTTAAGTTTATTATTGGTAGTTTACACATGCGTAATTGCCTGTGCAAATGCACGCGGTTTAAGGGTAAGTATAATTAAATACATACTCATTTCCGTTGTTGTATATATATTCCCCCTGATTGTCTTCGGCCATTTAAACGAAAATTTAGTTTCGACAGAAGCTTAAATTGAATGCACGTTACCAAGACACTATATATTGGGAACATTTCAATACCTAAGTGAAAAAACATTAGATAGTGCAAAAACACAAGTGTATGTAGTATAATAACAATTTTACTTTCTCTATACATTTTACGTCCTGATTACACATGCCTTTTCAAATTCACGTTGTATATCACATCTATTGCCTTCCTCAGTGTAAACGTAACGCCGTACTTTTTTTTTCTCGACACACCAGCAAGTTGAAATAATAAGCGCCACTGCTGGTGAGTATTTTTGTTCATTGTTTCAACGTATTAACACGATATTCCTGATTATTCAAAACTACACGGTGTGTTACAAATATCGATAGTGTGAAGTGATAGCCTGGGTAAGATATTATCCAAATCAATATCATATATTTGGAGAGCTTTGATTATAGTGATATGA